TAACCTCCTCTATTTCCAACTGCAGTCAGCGCGGGCAGGTCGCTCCCACGGAAGGCTCCCGCGCTCGGCCCCCTCCTGCAGTCCAGGTGCCGGCCAGCTACCGCCTCGGGGCGGGGTTGCCAGCCTGTCCCTCCACCTCTGTCCTGCTCCTTCCAGCATGTTCTGCCTGCTGTCACCAACCGGGCGTGGTGGTGCATGACAGCGATCCCAGCACTTGGGAGGCTGAGGAAGGAGGATCACCGTGAGTTCAAGGCCAGCCCGGGCTACCCAAGTTCAAGGCCAGCCTGAACTCTACCTTGAGAATCTGTCTCAAAACAACAACAACAGCAAACCGCCTCCCCTGGACAGCACTGTCACCCAGGGATGGCAACACTGCAGGCCCTGCCTTCCACCCTTCCCAGCCTTCCCAGGACCACCTCCCTGCACTGCCCGCCATGCTCTGGTCTCTGCTGGGACCCTTAGTGGCCCTGTGTTCCTGGACCACGGCACCCACACCAGAGGCGACACTTACTACGAGATGCTGAAGATGCCCAGTGTGTACCTCCATTCCCAGCTTCTCCGATTCTCCACAACCGCGTAGTCTGCGGCTGTTGACGGCTGGGCAGCCCTTCCCCACCCCCAACACGCTCAGACACTGCACAATCGCTCAAAACTAATGGTACGGTCACTTTGGAGAACTACTCTCAGTAGCCACTGAAGCCAAACATACGTACACGAGTGACACACAATTCTACCCTGAGGCTCTCAACACAACACACACGCTCACATGCGTATGCCTCAAAACACACGGACAAGGGTGCTTGAGGCAGCACTCCTCAGCGGGCCCCAAGCCAGAAACAATCCATGTGCCCATTAACAGTAGAAAGGATAAATACTGCTAATACATTCACAGCATGAGACACTCACAGTGACCCCCCCGGAATGCTTACAAACATGTTCAGTAGCATGGATAACCTTCAGCCAGGCATGGAGGCACACGCCTGTAATCCCGGCACTCTGGGAGGCTGAGGCAGGAGGATGTCAAGTTTGAGCCCAACTTGGGCAACTTAGTGACTTAGCAAAAACCTTGTCTCAAAATAAAACATTTTAAAAGGGCTGAGAATGTAGCTCAGTGCCAGGGTGCTGGGTTCAATCCTCAACAGGACCAAAAGAAATAAGTAACAATAAAAAGATGAATTTCACCACATAGCATTGAGCCAAAAAAGCCAGACACAAGGTTGCGGGGTGTAACTCAGTGGCAGAGCAGATCCTTAGGATGCAGGAGGTTGTGGGTTTGATTCCCAGCACAGAAGGAGGAGAAGGGAGAGGAGGCAGGGGAGGAGGGGAGGAGGCCAAGGGGGAGAAAGTATACTCTGTATACTTCCGTTTATATAAAAGTCAAAAATAGGCAAAACTGGTCTGCTAGAAGTCCGAGTGCCCTGGGGCTTCTGCCTGCGGCAGAGGTTGTGTCCCAGACTGGGGCTCAGCCCGGGTGCTGGGTGTGAAGCTGGGTGTGATTTGTGCAAACCCGTGGATTACAGGTGCGTGGGCACCTTCCGCAGTGTGCTACGCCCCAGGGCAAAGTTAGAGCAAAACTGGACGCCGTCCCCCACGCAACCCCTTTGCTGTGTCTTTCAGAGCGGCCCCTCCCGCGGGTTCCTCCGGGACCGCGCTCCTCGCCGCGCCGGCCTCTTCCTCACCCCAGAGCGCACGCCCTGTGCTGGTGCTGGTGCAGCGGCCTCCTCTCCGGGCCGCCGGCCTCCAACCTTGTCACCTGCGGGATCTGTCTGCACGCAGAGGCCAGAAAGATCCTTCTAGAATGAAAATCCAAGCATGCCTTTCCGTGCTTAAAACCTTTCTGCGGCTCCCGGAAGCCTCCGAATAAAGCTCAGTCTCCCATTCTGGGCTTCTGCGCCCTCAGTTCTGGGTCCCGGACCCCTCATCACCTGCTCGGCCCCAGGAAGTCCCATGAACCTTCGCGAAGGCCTTGGCCCTGGCCCGGACTCCTCCTTCTGCCCATCCCTGCAGCTCCCCGTCCAGTCCCACCCGTCCTTCAGACACCCTCCTGCCTCTGCAGAAGGTTCAGGCCCCCTTAGGCGGTCACAGCAACTGGTCAGCTGTGTGTCCACTTCCGATGGGAACTTGGGCTCCATGGAGAGGACACGGTGTGAGTCTCCATCCTCACATCCCAGGCACTGGGTGGGTGAGCTGTGTGCTGCCTGGATGGGGGACCCCAAAGAACGTCCAGGCTGCAGAGTGCTGGGGCGAAGGGGTGGGGCGAATCTCCAAGGGGGTTGGAGGGAAGCCGAGGGGAAGTTCCCCCTTAGGAGTCAGAGTCCTAGAATTTATTTTTTATCTCTTGGTTTGTTTTGAGTCAGGGTTTCACTGTGTAGTCCAGGGCAGGAAGGCCCTGGCCTGGCAGGTGCCGGCCTGACCTCGGGTCTCGCCGCCTCCTACAGTGACCACTAGATGGCGCCCGCCGCCCAGGAACGCTGGCCTCGGCCCTCCATCGCGCTCCTGCCCTCAATCAAGCCCGCCACTCTGGAGCGCAGTTGCCGCGGCCGCTTGATACTGGGCTGCGGGGAACAGCTTGCTTCGACAGAGACCTGTGCTCGATGCCAGCGACAGGGCGGCCCGTGGCCCTTTTCCTGGGCACCAGCCAGCTCCGCCCTTTCTCCCTGTACCCCTGCGTCCCCACCCCTCGACAGGCACAGGACTCTGTCCCTTCTCCCACCAAGCCCGCCTCAGCCTCAGCCAGGAGTCCCAGTTGGGGGCTCTCGTTTAGTCACTCAATAAACACCCGCTTAGCATCGTCCTAGGTGCCTGGAAGGTAGCAGTGAATGGGACAGGCAGTCGTTGGCATGCCACGCCATGGGGAGCCGGATGTGAACCCCACGTTACCAAACAGTTGTTTAATTGTTCGTTGAAGCGCCTGATGTTGCAGTTTTCGTCCATTTCTAGAACTCAGAATTTCAGAAGAATGGAGCTCGGACATTATCCTAACATTACCCACTACTACCGCCCTCTCTGCATGCAGGACTGCGACTCCTCGCTTTGCTCAGGAGCCGCGGCTGCGGAGGGGAGGAGAGCCGTGGTGCAGGTGAGGAACGAATGGGCCGCGGAAGGGGCTTGCCCGGCGCTGTCCCTTCCCCGCGGGGCGCTGGGGTCCAGACCAGGCCCTGCCCACCTTCCCCTGCCACCCGGGGGCGGCGCCCGCCCTTCCCGTGCCCTCCCTGCCCCGCGCCGCGGGCTCTCTGGGCGCCCTCTTGGCAGCAGAACAGAGGGCATCCGGAGCGGGTGGCAACTCGCCCCGCCACGGGCTCGGAGCGGCGGGCGATAGGCGCTGGGGGGACGCGCAGATAGACAGACAGATAGCGCGGCCTCGCGCCCCCGCCCCCACCTTTCCCACGCGGCGGCCGCCCCGGGGCGCGGGCCCAGCGAGCCCCGGCTCCGGTCCCCGGGCGCAGTCGGCGAACCTGTCCCCGCCAGCTGCCGCTCTGTGCTGCAGTCTCCGGCTTCGGACAGGGATGCGGAGCCCCTCGTACGCTTCTCTGGCTGGCCGGGTCTTCGCCGGAGACCCCTCCCCCGGCGCGGGCGAGAAGCCGGGCTGGGGGCTGTAGGGCCCGAGAATGACCGCGAGGTGGCGTGCTGGCACCGCGTGTCCTCGGGCTAGGCCCGGCTGGGCAGGGACAGCGGACAGGAGGAGGGCAGGCTAGGAGGCGAGCTTGCGAGGAGCTCCCCCTCTTCCGAAGACAAGGCAAGGAGCAGAAGTGGGGTGGAAGGGAGAAATGAGCCAGGCATCGGGAACAGCCAGGACGACTTGGAAACTGGGGTTTGTGAGCCAGCACCACAAGGAGTTGGGGGTCCCCAGAAAGGGGAGACCTTTCATCATCAAGGCTTTCACGGCGGAGCAGCACCCTGGCTCCCAGCTACTGGGGACTGGGAAGGAACTGAAAGGTCTCTCCACACCTGCGTGTGACGTGGGTCCCACGGCCCTTCACCCCCGTCTGAGCCCCCACCACACACTGCCGCACGGGCTCACACACACTCCTGCCGCCCTTCTGTACGCGTGGACGCATGAAATCGTCAGGTCGCACACCGAGGCACCCCCGCACTCAGAGCTGTTCCGTTCTGCGCTGACTCTGCCCGGAGACTCCTGAAGTTAGGCTCACCCCGTGCCCCGCACAACTTCCTGGGGGCTCCAGGTCCCCGGCTCCCCCCACTTGGCCACAGCCATCCCCGGAACTGTGCACCCAAAGTTTTGGAGGGGGCTCTGTCATCCCCCCTCCCCTCCCCTCAGCCCCTAAATCCACAAAGGTTTTTCCGTGGTAGGCTCCTCCGAGGGCCAAGTTAGGACTTTTGTAAACCCAAAGTGTTTTTGCCTGGTGGGTCCCCAATTTTTTAACAATCATCTTACAGTTGCATTGCTGTAAAAATAACATATTAATATACTCAAACATTTTCTCCAACTTAGAAATTCTTTTCCTCTTGATTTTAAGAGACATTAAGGTATTTTCATGAACGCTGGGTTCTTACCACTTTGCCTGTTATTAGCATAGCTCGCTCTCTCTCTCTCTCTCTCTCTCTCTCTCTCTCTCTCTCTCTCACACACACACACACACACACACACACATGGACACACTCACGCTCACTCTGGGCACAAATCCCTAATGGGAAATTTCCCCTCCTTCCCTGTCACACTTAATTCCACCCCCAGCCAAGAAGACAGAGACGGACAGACAGACAGACAGACAGGCGGACAGATCCTGGGGGATCCGCAGTCGCCCCCACCCCTCATTCAGTGGGGTTATCTGGACTGTGGGAGAAACGAGGCGTGTGTGTGTGTGTGTGTGTGTGTGTGTGTGTGTGTGTCTGCCTGCGTTTTGGGTAACAACAAAGAGTGGGGGGGAGCGAGAGCGCCTGAGCGTGTTTTGCCTCGAAGGCAGGACTCGCAGCCAATCAGCGCGCAGGAGCCTCCCTACGCGACTCCAACATTGAGTCTATAACCGGCTGGCCGGGCGGAGCTGGCTGCATTTGTGGCTTGGGACGCGAAGCGACTGCCCGACGGCCGGCGATGGTCTAGGCGCCCTCAGCCGCCCCTCCCCGAGACGCAGCCGGCCCTCCCCGCGAGCGCCCCCCGCCTCCCGCCCCGCGCCCCCGTCTCCTCCGAGCCACCCGGGGGTGCGGCGCCCGCCAGCATGAGCGGCTCCTTCGATCGCAAGCTCAGCAGCATCCTGACCGACATCTCCAGCTCGCTCAGCTGCCATGCGGGCTCCAAGGACTCGCCCACCCTGCCCGAGTCTTCGGTCACCGACCTGGGCTACTACAGCGCGCCGCAGCACGACTACTACTCCGGCCAGCCGTACGGGCAGACGGTGAACCCCTACACCTACCACCACCAGTTCAACCTCAACGGGCTCGCGGGCACGGGCGCCTACTCGCCCAAGTCGGAATACACCTACGGGGCCTCCTACCGGCAGTACGGCGCCTACCGCGAGCAGCCGCTGCCCGCCCAGGACCCAGGTGAGGGCGGGCGCCGGGAGGGCGCGGGCCGGCCGGGTTCCCGGCGCCGAGACGGGCGGGGACTGGAAGCCGAGTCTAGGGAAGGCTCCAGGGCAAGAATGTCCGGCCTGGGATCGGAGGGGGCGGCCGAATGACCCCGGAGAGGGCGGGCGACCTTCCAGTCCGGAGGCTGCAAGCGTCCCTGGCGCGGTGGCGCCGTGCGCCCCGGGCTCGGCGACGACGAGCGGCGGGCTCCCGCCTCTTGAGAGCCCCGGGACGGCGGGGATCTCGCGTGCACCTCCGCTGGCGCTCCCGCGGGGAGCCGGGGCTCCAGGGCCCTGCCCGGGGCGTGCACTGGGGGAGACCTGCGGGGGCGAGGGGCGCCAGGACAGCGAAGTTAGGGGGAACGTGGGGAGGGAGAAAGCGAGAAGAAAAGTAGAAACTCAAGAGAGAAGCAAACGGGGAAGACAGATACAGGAGGGAAGAGAATAGAGGAAAGAAGAGGAGGGAGGGAAAGAGGCAGACAGAAAAGAAGGAAGAAAGAAAAACGAGAGAAAGACGGAAAGAAAAAGGGAAGAAAGAAAACCGAAGGAGGGAAGAGAGAAAAGAAAGAAGCAGGAAGAAAAGTATTCCTGTGACTTTCCTGAAGATCTAACGCTATTCTGAAGTAGGAAGGCGGGCTTGGGAGGGCTGGAGAGAGCGGCGAGAGAAGCAGCCCCACCCCGTACGGTGGGCCTGGGCCCCGAGCCGGCGGCCGAGGGCGTCGGGCCGCAGCGCCTGGTCCTCGCCGCCCGCCCGCCCCCCGCGAACACCCCGATTCCACTCAC